GGGGGGGGGGGGTACGCTTCTTAAAGGGGGGTGTCGAGGAGGGGATGGGGGAGGGGTATTTGACGTTACAGGCAAATAAAGGTGTTGTTATGGATTAAATTTACTTTGCTAGTAGGAGATAAGATAATAGGGAGGGAACATATATCATTGTATCATAGAGTATTCAGGAAACAGAGATCACACTAAAAAATATGTAAATCATAGAGTTGCAGAGTATACATACAGGTATAAAGAAATCCCACTAGAATAGGTGTATACTGATGTATACTTCATAAAGCGATCTCACTATAGTGGAACCGTGTTAATCATAGAATATGTAGGTATATGGAGATCCATTAGGGTAGGTGTTAATCATATGGTATACAGGTATATGGAGATCCCACTAGACTAGGCGTTAATAATCAAGTATATAAGTAAACAGAAATATCAGTAGAGTAGGTGTTAATCATATGGTATACAGGTATATGGAGATCCCACTAGACTAGGTGTTAATAATTAAGTATATAGGTAAACAGAAATATCAGTAGAGTAGGTGTTAATCATAGAGTATATAGGTATACAGTAATCCCACTATTATCGAATGTCACATATTTTCAGTAAATGGATCCAGACTAAATAAAAAAATGTTCAAGAATTTATTTAAAGTTACGCAAAGCATTGTCCATAGAGATTTGACCTCACTATCCTACTTACATTTTGTTGTAGCCCTAAACATGTTTATTTTAGAAATTTTTCAAACTTAAATTTAGCTTAAAGTTAAATGAACTAATTGACGAAATTCTCATTGATTTTTGCGTAAGAGCTTGCAACCTTGGGATTACAGTGTGTACAGTCCCTTTTGTTTTTGTTTTGTTTTTCTAACTCCTTCCTATTTTTTCATATATCTTATGTTTCAATTCAATATACTACATGAATCAAAAAATAAGACACCTCAAATAAGTTTAGGTTGGTCATATAGAGTATACGAGGACTTTGGTGAAAAGTTGTATTTGTGAAGTGTTATTAGGGTGTTGTAATTTGAACCCTGAATTCAGATTAAGAGCATTAGAGGGAAGAGGGGGGGCCCAGTTAAGAAGGGAGAGAGAGATTGTAT